TCTAAAGCAGTGTACTTGAATGGATAGGATATCTGTGCAGGATAGATGATTTAATACTGAGCACACAGATTGAAGTGTGTTTCAATACAAAATGGCAGATACAAAGAAGGAGAAGCTGCTTAATCCTCATCCCAGATGCAGATCAAAATGAATGAGTCTTTTTGGGGAGTGAAATCGTAGAACATAGGCTTTTTAAATATTTAAAAGGATAAAAAAAACAAATGAAAATGATCTACACAGTGAAATGAAGCAGAGAACAGTTTTTTTTACTATTTTATTTCATCGACAGGCTTTATTTTCATTCTAGTTGTCGTCATATCAGTTATTTCTCTCAACCCATTTCCGCCTTCTTTTTAGTTTATTAAGAATTAACTAGCAGAAATTGGAGCAGCCTTAAAGAAAGCAGCGCCTCAAACTCTGAATTGTCTGTGGATACTTGTTTTTCTGTGTGTTTGGTTACATAACTTGTGAGAATATTCCACCCCCTCACCAAAAGTCCAAGTTGGATTTCTGCCTACACTTTTCAGCTCAGATGGACTCTGAGAGATGAAGCCATGGTTTAGGCCGTACAGTATTTATCCAAACAACATGAGGGACTTCTGATTTTGCCACATGCAGTTTTCTTTCTGTTTAGTCCATGTGTTCAGCTCCACAGTACATGCTTGTTGTTAGTTATTGAGAGGTGATCCGCCAATATGTCTGCATGAAGTCAAAAAGGGACGTTGATGAGAAATGATTCCGAACACACAGTTCTCAATTTGTCTAAAAAAAGAAACACTCGGTCACGATTGTCGACAAGACTGCATTTTTACCATCACAAATACAAGTTTATAAAGAAATTAATAAATGATATATGGATATTTAATGGATGTGAATGTTTTCTTTATTGTTTGCTATAAAAGATAAGTTCTTCACAAACTTTATGATATGGAAAACCTATGAAATGTTGTTATTTTTGTTGGGTTTTGTTTTGCTGACGTTGATAGTTGGCTCTCAGTGGACCCCCAGCTTGTCACTCCGCTTTAGAGGGTGGGGGGGTCAAAGTGACAGCACTGTACTGCTGAGCATCACATTGTGCAGTGTGTAGGGGGAACCCATTGACTGGTCCATACGCACTACTATGGAGCGGCTTTGGATTGCCGTGGCAACATGTATGCTCACGTCCTGCTGTGTCAAAGGTAAGTGCTAGAACAAGCAGGAGGGCTGTGCGCCTATTTACCATTTAACTGCCTCTAAAACCGGGCCTGTTATTAGACAGAGTGTTTATAGTGTGCATAATATTGTAAATACATTTATATAAGTAAACACTGACATGCTTTCTAAAAAATACTTTTTTAAATGACATTGTTTAAACAATGAACATGTGTTAAGAACTGGCTTATTAGGCTAGTTGAAAAGTTTGGATTAGTAAAAGATGTTTATCTCTTAAGGCAACGACTGGTGGTGGGAGTATGAGGAGGGGATACGACACTACAGCCAAGAGGCCCTCAACAAGGTACTGTGTTCACCAGGTTTCAGCACTGAACATGTTAATGTGTCACGGTCAAACACCGGATAATGATACAAAAGTATTGTATATTGTATATGTTATTTTTCTCATGGCAGTCTATAATTGTGTTTTTATTTTGGAACACCCACCCACTGTGACCAAAATGCTTTTCAAAAGACAATTGGACAAAATGGAAACAGCTAAATGTAAAAAGTGGTTACCCGTTGACTTTTTATACACACACAAGAGGCAGGTTATCATTTTATAAAAACTGACTGTACACACGGACCAGCAGGCATGTTGAGAATGTGCACACACTGTGAAAACGTAGCTTCATAAGGTATCAACAAGTCAAAGGGTCCATATTCTGCTCATTTTCAGGTTCATATTTGTGTTTTTTGCCTCCACTGTGACATGTTTACATGCTTTAATGTTCAAATGTTTTCACCCATTGTCTGAAACCAGAACCCAGTCTGCTCTGATCACTGTTAGCAGGCTGGCTCTGCTGTGATTGGTCAACCACTTAAAGGGATCTGCCCCTTAGCCTATACAATGTGTTGGAGCGCTAGCCAATAGAAGCAAGAGTGTTAGTAGTGATGTAGAATAATAGAGCCTCTTTAAAGGAGAAATAAAGAAGATTAAGACCCCGTCCACACGGAGACGAAAACGAACCGAGGTCGATATCAAAAATGTCTTCCGTCCACACGGAAACGGCACAAGAAACGTGTCCGTCCACACAAGACCGCTCGACCCGCTGGAGACGCTGTAGTACATATGCCGGGCCTGTAAGTGGCGCTGTACTTCCGCCACAAAATACACCAAAAGCAGCAAATAAGACCCTCCGAGCATGGTTGCCATGGTTGCCTGGTTGCCCTTCTGGTTATTCTCCGCGGTGCCACCGCACGAACGCAACCCTATGATCCGCCATTGTTGTTGGCGAAACACATCAGCAATGACGCGGGGGTGAGCAAGAGAGGTGGGGAGAGGCGGGGCTATGATCGTTTAGGGCGTACACACAGTGCCGCAAGCGTTACGTTACCAGACCTTCCCACTTTGGGATGCGTTATCGTTTGAGGGCTCCGTTTCCGCTGTTCCGTTACGGCCTCGTGTGGACGAACCGTCCATACGATAAAGAACTATAGCGGATAACACCCGTTTCGTCTCCGTGTGGACGGGGCCTAAAAAAGCAGGATAATCAACTTCCATCTCAAGGCTGTGTTCCTGACATTTTGTAAGATGCATTTCTGAAAAGAAAGATGGATTCAAAGGTTTAGATCTGACATTGATGAGTTGTCTCTCTCAGGAGTTCCCAGAGAAAACTCGACCGGTGAGTTTCAAACATCCTGTGTTCCAGTGTCCGGACATGAGCCCTTCTCCCTCTGTCCCCTCCTCAGGTCAGTCAAGGTCAAATCCAAATCAGCCACTAAATCAATGTTATCCAAAAGTTAAAACTGTATACACATATTGTATATTAATGTATTCTCTTTCATCTTCCTCTCTAGTTGAGTTTGTGAAGGCGGCAGATATCAAAGTCATTGCTGCCCTGGGGGATTCACTGACAGTAGGTGGTATTTGTTGATTTTCGCTTCAGCTGCATCCAGTACAAGTAATATGATAAGTAATTATAATCACAACTAATAAATTGTTCAATGTCAGCTATCCATATTAAGGACATGTTTACAGACAGGAAAACATCCTCAAAACTCAAACATAATCAAGGTTTCCAAATGTTCTTAGGGGTCCTGAGCGTATTTCCCTCAGGTGTCGTGTCTTTCCTTTTCAGACGGCCATCGGAGCAAACGCCACCACTGTACTGGGGATTCCTATAGAGTTTCGCCATGTGTCGTGGAGGTGACAGAAGTGTTGTATAAAAACATTATAATGGATCTCTTGACCCTGCTGTGCCAGCATATATAATTAATATTCATGTGATCTTTTTTTCTATATTAAATTGTGTTTTAATGTAAGATTATTTCTTCAGATAACAAAGCCATTGTTATATAGGGACCAAAGTCATTTCGGTACTAATTTGATATTTCTGCATTTTTCAGCATTGGAGGCTTTGGGTCATTTGAGTCTGTCATTACTTTGGCAAGTAAGATGTTTTAATCAACAATAACCTACAGAAGCCCTTAAAGGCAAGGAAGAAAAACGTTCTGATGATCCAATTTCTCAATCTGATACAAATAAATCTTTTCTGTGCTAAGGTTTACAACATTTAATAAAAAAAGCATAATCAGTACACCATGTGGAGAGCAAATGTTGCTAGGGTTATTTTTCTTCCTTTGGTCCTATTTTAAACATAGGGTAGTGGTGCCCCTAGCCTCTTGTGGCTGAAAAGAGTATTGCAACAACAAACACTGACGGTGAACAGATGAAAAATGTTACTCTGGAAACAAAACTGACAAATCCAATTGGAAAATATTGACATTTTTTGAGATTGCAAAAACCAAATTGTTCTTTTAACGTGTTCTTGCAGAAGCATTTCATTAATTTGTTGCTATCTGTAAAAGAACCACCATTTGCTCAGAACCCACCCTATAGCTTAAGTCATAAACACCAGAAGAAGGACCAATTTAAATCAGACGTGGAAAAACTGATTCCCAGAACTTTCTTTTGCTCACTTGCCTCTCTGGGCTTCCGTACATCTCAATATCTCTTTACATCATTGTTTTGTACATGTTCCATATTACATTGTCTTTACATTTATCTTTTCCACTTCTGATTTTTAGACATCCTCAAGCTGTTCAACCCCACCCTGCTGGGTGCCGCTCCGGGGAAGACGGTCCACGGCATGCAGGCTCATATCAGCGAGACGGGCTTCAACCTGGCTGTGACGGGACACAACACCTTGTAATGACTCGTCATCCTCCTGTTTTCATTCTTATTAATTATTGATCATAATGCTTGGACACATAGTATGTTCTGTCTTCATATAGCAACCTTCCCAGTCAGACGAGACATTTGATCGACACCCTGAGAGGTTACGAGGTACAGTATTTGCCTGTTTTCTGCCAAAATGTAACAACCAAGCAATGAAAGAGTTAATAAATCAGGTTATAAAAGCCCTGCGGCAAAATGCTGTCCCTGAACCTGTTTTGTATTCACCAAATGTTCTCTCTAACCCCTCCGTTATCTTTTTCTCCAGGGTCTGAACTTCGAGGAGGACTGGAAGCTATTGACCATCCTCATGGGCATGAATGACATCTGTGATTACTGTAAAGATAAGGTCCGCCTTCTTTTCAATCAGTTTAGTTCAACAGATCAATGTCTTTTTAAAGAAGGAAAAATGTTCATAATGAATATCTGCGATGTTCTCTCTAGGCTCTATTTTCAGTGGATAACTTCATTCACTATATCACCGTGTCCTTGGAAATGCTCATGAATGAGGTAAAGTGAAAGAACACATTGTAACACATTAGTTGTGAATGAGAGTTCAGTCAGACTTCAGTGCAGCGTGGTTTTCTCCTCCATCTTGAGCTTCAGGTTCCTCGTATGATCGTCAATGTGGTTCAGATCCTGCCCATGCAGACCCTGAGGGAGGTGCAGAAGCCCACCCCGGGGTGCCGGCTCCAAAGGTGAGCCACTCATTCGTAACAGGAATATTTTAATTTGATTTGCTCATTTGCATTTAAAATGACACAATCTGCACTTTTAAAACAGGGCTGAAACAGAGGGGTTTATGGGATGCTGTAATGCATGATCTGTTTGGTATTTCGAGCCAAAACTTCAGAGACATGTTTTGTGTATATCTGAGAGATATTCTTGACAAAGAGTATATTATATTATTAGGGGACCTTTAAGTATGATGTTTGACCTTTACTCTGTTTTCCGATTCACCTGATGAAAAGGGAATATTTAGTGCTCTTTTTCAGCCTGAGTTCAGGTCCAACAAGGATAATTCATTGAAAACATAACTAGCTAAGCAGCCATCATGGTCCTATAAACAACTTGTACTGTATATTAAAGGTGGGGTAGGTAATTTTGGAGAAACCAGCTCGAGATCGCTAGAATTTGAAAATACACAGCCGGAAAAAATCTGCCACTTCCTTACAGAGCCCCTCCTCCAACACACACGAACGCGCACATGACCAATGAGGGCACGAGATAAGTTTGTGCACAGATGGAAGGCTGACAGGCAGGTAGGCCATCCAGTTATTTTAGCCGGGCCGGCTAAAATGATTGGCCGTACTTTTTACAGTACTACTGCTTCCACAGATGACATTTTATGGATTTTTTGTCAAAGCACTTAAGATATTCATTGCTATCGGGATGTTAAGAGCATTCCATGGAATATAACAAAAAGTGTATCTCGAGCCGGTTTCTCAAACTTACCTACCCCACCTTTAAGTTACTGTTGGCAGTGGATCCCTGCAGTATACATACACTGAGAATGGACTTGTGCAGACCAGCCTTGTTCGGCTCATTGTCATATTTTCCTGTTTTGGTTACAGTAGCCTTGGATTTGCTACCAAAATGTTGAGCGATTTTCGAATGAATTGCTTCAAATTCACACAAACATCCGCCTTAATTTAAGACTAAACTGATTACATTTTGGTGTTAACAGGTCAACGTCAGTGCAACCTTACAAAACAGGTTATTGGCCATACCTCTAGAATGTATGCGCTTATTAATACAATTTCACTCACTTGTCCGATGCTCCTTTTGTATTTTTATTCCGCTGTAGGTCTTTCTGCTCGTGCCTGATAGAGCCAGCAGCCCAGTCTGAGGAGCTACGGGAGCTGGTAGAAGTCAATCTGGAGTTCCAGGTACAACATTTTAAATAATTATTAACCATCCTGCAAGATCAGGATTGATTTTGGGAAATTCATATTTGAATAAAACACCGTAATGAACAAACTGGTGCATAGGGCCAGTTAATAACCCTCTGGAAGGAATTGCTGCTGTTATGTAAAATAGAGGATACATTGAGTTTTATTGTGCTTTATTCCACAGAAGAGGCTTGAGTTGCTGCTGTTCAATGACCGGTTCTTCAGGGACAACTTCGCCGTGGTTCTTCAGCCCTTTCTGAAACACGCTGACCCCCCCCCGCCTCCCGGTAATCCACCCTCACTCTGAATGAAATCTGAGGAGATGAATTAGTGTGAAATCGCACATTAATTATTGACTAATTATTATTAATTGACTTAATTAATTAAGTGTGACAGCTGCTTTGTAAACATGAGAAGATCCGACAGCGTTTGTTTTGTCTCTGCACAGAACGGGAAGATCGATATGACCTTCTTCACTCACGACTGCTTTCACTTCACCATTAAGGGACACGAAGAGCTGGCGAAGGGACTGTGGAACAACATGGTGAACAATGAGTCACACTGCTTGTTTTTAACAAGACAGGAGGTCAAAGGTCAACCATCACCTCCATTGCAATTCAGGAGGTTTCATTGTGTAAATAGATGACACAAAAGGATGGAACATAATTAATATTCTAATAGAAACTCTAGATCACAGGAAAAGGGAAATGAAGGACATTTGAAATCAGTATTTTTGCAACAAAGTTATTAAATATTTCAAGATTACATTTTTGTTTTGTCCTCGTCTCTGTGTTCTGCTTTCCAGTTTCAGTCAGAGGGGGGAAAGATGATCGTGAGCAGCTTCTCCGACCCCATCAGTCTCATCTGTCCTCCCATGGTAAGGCAGAATAAAATCTGTGTTTTTTCCTAAAATATTGAGGATTTTTTAAATTTCATTACCAATTTAAAGTAATTACCTGGATGTCTTCATGAAAGTAAAGAATGAAAATAATCTTGCAGAGGTCCGAAACCTTTTCAGGATCACAGAAAAAAAGGAAATGTTGACTTTAATTGAATGTATTATGTCAACAGATTTCACATAACTGCATTAGGTTAGTTGAAAGCATTAACGTGAAGTTTAAATTGAAAAATGCTTCCAAATAACCACCAAATACAGTCATGTGGAATCTGTTTAATTTAATTAAAGTCAACATTTCAGTTATTCAGGATAGTTACTGGTTAAGATTTCATATCCATTTTATTTTCTAGGAGTTTCTGCTGAAATATTTCTCTGTCATTACATAATGTTTGTTTATTTTCTGTCTTCTTGGTGTGTCCTCCAATGACGGACATATTTGTCAGAATATTTGAAATACACCAAGGAAATCAGTTCAGAGCAGTCCCTGAACGCAGCTGCCTCACAATGCAGCAAGTTGATTTATTCATGGCCAACTTTTGTGGAGATTTAGGATATGCACTAGAAATTAAAGCAACAATTATATAAGAAAAAAGAAAAAAAATTATTAAGAAAAATGGTGGGGGACGGGTTAAAACGAAAATAATAATACAAAATAAATAATTAAATCCAAATGGGGCTAAAGGAAAAAGAACTAGTGGCCACAACCCAGATAGATGTCCATATAATACACTGGGGAATGTGTCAAAACATTTTTTACATAAGATATTTTTCTCTTCAGCACCATCATTTGCACTTCTGGTTGGATGTAAACTACATTTCGTTGTCTTAGTACTTGAATATCATCTCATTCTTAGCAAGTACACAATTCATACCATATCAAGATAAACGCATAGCCACTGAGATTTTGTGAACAAATCTGGAGGACTCAAACGCAACGGCATCATGTTGAATTGTAGTAGACTGTTAAGTAAGATACATTTTTTTAAGTTGTGACACATTTAGCAAGATGTTCAGGCAGAAAATAAAGAGCCATAAACGCTAACAATCCCCTTATCTCCACGTCCCTTCTGCAGGAGCACCCGTTCATCTTCACCCGGCCGCTGGCAGCCCGCTCCGGTCACCCCCCCCTGCAGTCTGCCACTCTCTCGCAGGCAGCCCTCCTCCTCCTCCTGCTGCTCCTCACAGCTCTGGCATGTCTCCCGGTTATGTAGCTTTCACTTTTCTGGACTGTTTTCCAGCCTGCCTGTGCTGCGTTGGTTGCTGTCGGGGTTTCAGAGCGATACATATGCAAAGTAGAGTTGGTCAGCCAGACTTTGCAACTGAATACTGAATATTATTATATTGTATAGGCAGGTTGAGACTTAAGCAGTTGTAGGTGAGAAGCTTTCTTTGGATGGATCTGTTGCTGGAAGAAAAACATATTTGATATTCTATGTGATTTATCAGTCCAAACACACTAACTGAGGGGAAGGGGCGGTCTTCAGTTTTCCCCTCATTGGAATAATAAACTCGAGGTGTATTTTTAAGCAAAGGTCTGGCTAGTAGTTGCTTTGAATACACTGTATCACCTATCATAAGTTGCAGATTTTGTAAAGAAGCATGTAGATGAACATTTTGTGAAGTTTATACATTCATTAATAAAACATTAAACTAATCAGATTTTGACCAAAATGTTTTTGAAAGTGTTTTTCTTTTAGGAATCGTGAATTATTTTCGAATGACATTTCTCAGATACATTGTTCTTATATTAACAGAGCTTGTTCTGTTTACTCTTGTTGAATTGCAAATAAAAAGGTTGGAATTTCAGACAAAATTACAAAATGCATCCATCTCTTGTGAATATCATATATGAAAAAGCTTATTAATTAAAATATATTGTTTATATTGTCTTCCTGACAAGTCATCATTTCATCTAAAGTAGTTCAAATGTCTTCTACATATTATTAGGTAATATATCCTTAAATGCAATTAAAGGGGAATTGTTCTGTATAGTGAATAGATTGACTTTTGATACTTAAGCTACATTTGGGCTTGTGATATTTTTGTATTAAACTCTGGATTCTTGTTTACATTTTTATATTCATTATTTGACTGAAGCTCAGTACCTCGTCTTCCATTGCTTAAACAGTTCATGTTGTGTTTGAGACACATCTTCCCCTCAGATCTCCAGGCTGCTGCTGGCCCACTTCCACTGCTCTGTCCTGCATTATAATGTGCCGAGCACTCCAAGAGGCGAGGTAATCCACCCCGCTGAACAGAAACACTGAATATCCTACAGACTACCTTATGGTGAGCCATTGTTGTTCATCTGCACACAACCACGACCATTCAGCGTATCTGTGTACCATCACCTTCTACAGATTAGATCTCTATTCATCGTGTTTCTGGTAGAGAGCGTGCGGTTTACTATGTATTGACTCTGTTTAAAGAGTATGACTACGTGTGCAGGTGGAAGCTATATTAAGCTCAGCTCAGGTTTGCTCAGAAATGATAATTAAGCTCTTGAATGGAAATGAAAAGCAGGCCGCGTGTACTCAGCATGGTCGGGTTGAGATGGAAAGAACAGAATGGGACGTTTTTCTAAGATAAACATGTCTCTCATAAAGCAGGGAAAACCTTTTGGACGTTCACTTTGAATAGGAGACATGTGTTTTCATTTATTGAGTGAACCCTTTTACAATATGTTTTCTAATTTCTAAAATATATATTCCCATGGTCCCTAATGTCTACCTTTGGGTCCATTTCAGTCCATTCACGTAGCTGGTGGATTTGATTATGAATGCATTCAAAGAAAAACCCTCTCCACGTTTAAACAAAGCTGTCGCTGGTTTATGCGAGACAAATATAGAACTGACGCAAGTTGTCCTTTTATTGTCTCTCTGAAAGCGTAATGAGATCTCTGGGATCTCAGTGGACGCCGCAGGAGGAAATTTGAAACAACAAACAGTCCTACGCTCACCCTGGAAACCTCTTTGTCTGTCAGGTTTTTAATGAATGTGTCGGTAACAAAAGAGAAAATGACCTCATAGATCTAAGTACACCTGGGACTCGCTGCTTATGAGGTAAAAAGAGAGCAAACTGTTTTAGGATGCTCCACAGGTTGGTAGTACAACTAATCTGTTTGTGAAGACAGACCTTATTACACTTGAATGAGAAACATCAACCTTAATTATGCACTATTACATTTGATTCATTTAAACAGGCCATTTAATAATACTTCAACGGGCCCTGTTATGCTTTTTGGAGTTTCAATCAGAGCAGACTGGGCTCTGGTTTCAGACAGAGGGTGAAAAGAGGTGCAGCAGCACAGGCAGTATGAGAAAAATAAAGAGCTTTTTGAACATTAAAGTGGACCTATCATGCTATATTTGAATAATATAGTGTAGGACCATACATAAGGCATATTTATACTTTTTTTTTTTCAAAATACTAAACAGATCATGCATTTTAGCCATGCCTCATTTTGCTCAATTTGACATTTTTTATCCCTGTTTTAGCAAGGGCAGATTCAGTGAGAACAGCACCATCTACTGGCCTGGCATATGTACTACAGCGTCTCCAGCGCTTTCGAACGGCAATGGCCGTGGCTGTCTCCTCCTGATTGGTGGAGTTGGCCCAATAGCCGTAGCGCCACCGTCCTGACGTCAGGACAGTGTTCAAATCTGGATCAGTTTTTATCAGATCCGTTGCAGCCCCTTTTTTAGAGATTTGGGTATGGAGGAAAATAGAGAGGGTTGTGTTTTCTGACACTTGGTGAGTTCCCTGGAACACCGGGGACACATATTCATGTATATAAGACGTACAAAATGCATTTTGCATGATAGGTCCCCTTTAAAGGATGTGAACATCTCAGATAGAGGCACAAAATACAAATATGAAGCTGAACATTAACATCATATGTCCTCTTTAACACTATAACTAGACATGCTTAAGGAATACACAATCAAATAAATGATAACCATTACGTTATGAATCATATATAATGACTTCGTACAATAATCTTTCAATTCCAAGCGACTAAGATGGAGGTGTGACAAAACAGTATGGCAAAATAGAACTCTCTAGCAATAGTTCTCAAATCTAATCATAATCCCCATTTGTACATACAAATATTATAACGCCCGATGAACACATTCTGAGACATTTATTTGAAACATTGAGGAAGTTATACGATACGATATACTTTATTGTCCCCGTAAGGACATTCTGGACTCCGTCCTGCAGTTCCGCATACATGTACATATACAAACATAGTAAACATTTACCTAAGTTGATATAAATGAGTTATTTACATGGCCTAAGAAAGTGAACTTGTGAATATGAGCAACTGTCTCAAGTCCAGAGCTGCTTCATAGACAATGAATATGGGACTGGTTGTGTTGTTTTTCATAAAATAACCTAAATTAGGTTTTTTCTTTAAACGTGTTCTCAGTTGTGAAACAGAAAATGTACCGGATTTGATATTTAATGTTTTTAGTGTTCATGTTTGCTATTAACTTTGGACAGTGTAACGCCATAGGACTAATGTAAGAATAAGAAAATGTGTTTATCGTGTCCCTTTAACTAATCCCATGAAGTCATGATGATTTGATCATTTCTTCATGGTGCTCAAAAATATATTTCACTTCATCTAATCCATTAAGTACTATTCATCAATTACAACATGTAGTTATAGCAACATATATCCTGCATCTAGTCTATTATGTCACACAGTTTAAATCCTGTTCCCATTTGTCTCTGATAAGAAGGGTAAATGCTGCTTTTCATGGCATTTCTGTATTCAAGCCAATAGCTCACATGATCAGCGCAGGAACAGTTACAGTGAAGACAGCAATCATTTTCAATAAACCGTCACCTAGCAACACATTCAGGCAGCCAGGAGACATGATCAGCAAACACAGTGTGATGATAGGGCTTTGTCCGGCATGGAAAAACCACATAATGAAGACTGCAACGTCATAAATGGTAAAATAAATTCAAACATATCATATTTTTATTTTACTTGAACATGTAGGCCTACATCATGTATTCAAAAAGACACTACACATTAAACAAAAAGAATGACAATGGTCTGTAGTTGTGCAGGAGAGGTTGAAAGCCAAAAAATAGATATTAACAATCGTTAAAATACTTAAATATTTTTTTTAAAGAAAAAGGATCATGACCTGGTTTATGTGAAGTTGTACTAAAACGCCTGAGACGCTGTGTCCCAGTGTCTTAAAGGAATTGTGTTCAACATGTTTACTTCTTATGATTATATGAATATTTGTTTATTTTTTCTTACATGGAGCAACTGTCAGGAACCTTATTTTCCCCTGGGATTAATAAAGTATATTTTGATTATTAATTGTTTCACGAATGAAAGCCTTTTTCAGATTTTTTAACAATGATATTAAAGAGATGAAAGTAGGCTGTTTTCCAAAGAGATAGTCCTCTGCATTTAATATACATTATATTTCTAAAAATGTTCCGCTATATCAGATTAAGGGCATTTTCCAATGATGCAATGGGTCACTGACTGCAGTGGAACAACTTTCATAAAGAAAAAAACACCTGCTGCAATTTCACAGAATCGAAACTAGCAGTGTGAATACTTCCATCGTTGATCAATCCTGTAAACCTGTAAACGCCCTGACAAACATGTAGGTAAAACCAGCAGGTACGATACGGATAATTTGCCTCGGGATGACGTCACTTCCGCTCTCCACACCGTGCTATAAAAGCGGGTGCTGTTGCGGTGAGCCGTCGGTGGAGAGAGAGAAGAGGCTGCCGGCTCTCAGATGCTGCTGCAGGATATTTAGCTCTCCAGAAATACAGAAAAGTGGCTTAGTTTAGTTCAGGATGCTTCCGTAAAAACCCACCGAGTGTCCTTAGAGGGGTTACAATCAAACCTTCTGATATAAGCTTTGCTTCTTTCATATTCCTGGAGAGCTTTATGCACCTCGTTTCCAAACATGATCGGGAGAGGACTGTTCGTTTTGACTCTACTGTCAAGCTGCGGTAAGGAAATGCTCATTGACGTTAAGTGACATCATTCTGTAGGTGAAGGTTTCTTTTTCCTGCATTAGAGACGGACTGGTTCAGCACCAAGGACAGCGACACACGTCTTTAATTGCGGCGGAAGCTGGAGTGAATGCACCTGCACCTTTTGGCACATTCAGTCCCCTGTCACTGTGTTTTAGTAACAGTGGGAATAGCTTCGGGCATTATAACAAATCATGATTCATATTTTCCTCCTTTTCTTTGCAGTTCTGTCATTGCCAGTGACTCCAAGTCAGCTGGAGAATGAGGACGTGAAGGTAAAGATTTTTGATCAACATTATTATTTGTATTGATAAAGGTGTTTTCGCAGTGAATTAAATGTGCTTCTTTGTCACAGTGGGACTACTAGCAGCATTCAAAAGGCAATCTGGGATTATGAATACTTAATTCAAGCAATTTAACTCACTTAACTATATTTTCAGCTGGAGGCAATTTCAGTATAACCACATTACACATTAATTCTGAGAGAAATGGAGGGCCTGTGCGATTTCACATCTTGATGGAGGTAGAGAGGCAGTTTCTAGAAGAGGTTTAGAGAGACAAGAGAATGAAGGCGAGATATGGACGATGTGTAAAAGAGAGGGATGGGAGTTGGCTGAGGGACATTCAAAGACAGGGAGCTTTGAATAGCATGAATGAGTGAATATATGATCCGGCCAGTGGCTTGACATTAAAAGCAGAATGGGAGTTGGAATTATTTTTGATCATCCTTCTGAGAGTTTCCCTTATTTTAATTAGTGGTTGAAGATCAGCATTCAAACAGAAGCACATGGAGATGTATTCGCGTATCACCAAGTGGAGGACTTTGTAAAAAAAAAAGAGAATCCTTAATTCGCAGCATATCAGACATATCAGATTGTCACAGAAGAAGGTTTTGAAGTCATTGTGTTGCTGTGTGTGTCTGCAGGTGATGAAATGCATTGTGGAGGCGTTGGCAGATGTCCTCTCGAGACCCCGCCCCGAACCTGTCAGTCAGGAGTGTTTGACCATGCTGAAGACAGGTGAGACACACCCAGAGGACAGACACTGTATTTATCTCAGTTTGATAATGTTAATGTTATTAATTGTAATGAATGTTAATAGAAAATGAGTTGAAGAGTTAGATTTAAGTGTTTTTCTAAACTTCCATTAATAATCAAGTAGTAGCGATTATTGACCAACGCATGACACTGTCAAGGTCAAACACAGATTTTCTTTTGTCTTTCAGTAAATGATCACATTCAGAACTGTCCTTGTCATTTTAGGAGAAAACCAAATTACACATTTATGCCTGGACTTACTGTTCAGTTATGTAACTTCGCTAACAGTCGTGAACTCGACACTTATTTTCAAGCTCTCCATAATTAGTCCTCAATCTTGAGATCCCAAAAGTTGTGTTCTCGTGATGAATGAATAGCTTTCTTGAGAAATCGTTAGTTTTTCTCGATAATCCCCAAAAAATTCAACTCCAGTTACATGAAAACAAGCTTTGATATTTCAAGATTATAATGTACACTGTAAAAATTTTCACCGTGAATTCACAATAAATACTTGGCCAATTTTTGCATGACTTTCACAGTAAGATTCACAGCAATTTACTGTGATTGTCTTCACAGTAATGTATTGTAATTTCACACTCATGATATTACAATACATTGCTGTGAATGTCTTCACAGCAATGTATTGTAATTTCACATCCATGATATTACAATACATTGCTGTGAATGTCTTCACAGCAATGTATTGTAATTTCACATCCATGATATTACAATACATTGCTGTGAATGTCTTCACAATAATGCATTGTAATTTCACATCCATGATATTACAATACATTGCTGTGAATGTCTTCACAGCAATGTATTGTAATTTCACACCCATGATATTACAATGCATTATTGTAAAGGTAAAACTGTATACTGTAACTTCACAGCTTCAATGACTAAGGAATTACTGTGATATTACAATATGTTACTGGGGAATTACATCATTTTGTTGTACATGCATTACAACAAGGGCCTGTACTTTTATATTTCTATTGTGAAAGCAATGCAGGAGTTGCCAGTAATTTACTGTGAATGTACAATGTGTACTGTGAAAGTAATGCAAAAGAGTTGCCAGTAATTTACTGTGAATGTACAATGTGTACTGTGAAAGTAATGCAGATGAGTAGCCAGCAATTTACTATCAATTTACAATGATAGACGTGCATAACTGTAGTCCCCAGCTCCGGTCCTTCCTGGAGGAAGCTCATACAATGGTTTCCTGTCAAATACTATTGGATGACATGACTAATCACGTCATCCACATACAGCAAGCAAAAATGCACAAAAAGCATCTCACCCGTGAGTCCAGTTGGGTCAAATCGAATAGGCTACACTGTAAAAAAGAAAACTGCCAAACAAAAACCCTTAAATTAAAGTAAAATACTTTCACTGAAATAAAGTGCTAAAGCAATTAATAAACAGGAATTGTCCTTAAAGATTTTACAGGAAAACATTGTAGTGTTACAGATGTTTCCTCTCTTTTCAAAATCCATTGTCTTAAAATGTTACATTCAAATACCTTAAATAAAGTTCTGATGAGAAAAACTGTTTTTTACATTTTTTTTTATTAGATTTTTATGATCAAACACAAAAGTAAATGCAGAACCTAAAGTTCTACAGGTAGAATACTGTTATTTTACAGCTTTTTTCTAACATTTTCCAATCAAAGACGTTCAATAAAAAGACAGCACAAAATGTTCTGTAGGGAACAATTACTATAAAAATGTTAAAACTTAAAATATAAAAATATTTGTAGAATTATACAACCATTAATGAATACAGCATTTAATATTTAAACATCTACTTATAAACAGTATAAACAAAAAGTAAGTTTAATTTTTTAAGATTACTTTGAAACATTCTCAACTGAAAATAACAGAAATTACAAAATGGCGACATATGTTCACATTGTCCATTTGAAGGAGCAGTGTGCAGGATTTAGTACGTCTAACAATGGTAGGTTCCAACCAATGGATAACTTGTTCACTCACCCTCCTATCCCAAGTTTGTAGGAGAATGTATATTGGCTGCAAAAAACTTGAGGCCCAATCATGTTTCCTCTGTCCATTCTGCGCTACTGTAGATGTGGCAGTGCAACCTAGAGGACAAAAAGACAACAATTAGTAAACCATAATGATGAATGTTATTATCAGCAGCTGCCAATAGATCCCCCATCTTGTATGATGGACCTTTGAAGCAGGGTTGGAAACTTAAACACACTATTGATTGTAAAAACAGTTCTTGATGGCATCCCAAGGGAATTGATCAAATGCTAAACCCCTTCCAGAAAAAACAACTTTCTAATACCTTAGAAACTACAACTAGGCGCTGGCACGAATGCAGTGCTTCAGCTTCCTACAACTTTAAAGCTGTGTGGATGTGGCTCTATGAAGAGTTGTTCATATTTTTCTCATTCATTTCATAAGTTTAGAAGGGGGGAACATAGTCTAACAACAGTTAGCTTTTGTTAATGTTACCTTGAGGCAAACTTGTGAGACTTGTTTCTGAAATCCCTTTCTCTTAAAGTGAATAAATAAAAAAACCCTTACCCTAAAACTAACCACTGGATTGCTTGTCTAACATGACCTAGTCCATAAATGAGGTAAGGGTGGGAACAATCAAACGCACTCTCGCAGGCACTGCGTGTTAGCGAAGTACAACTGGGATTTCGAAGAGGAAGATATGCTTGGTCAATTCTTAATAAAAAAAGCAAAAGTAACAAATTGAGCACTTGAGTTTTCATTAGCAGCGCCTAGCTACAGCTGCGGAGCTTCGGTCAATACCGCTAACAGTCTATTTCCTTAAAATGGTACATATCGCTGAATCTATATTTTCATCTTCAGTTGATGAAATCTGCATAATGTCCCTGTACAATAAGATTCGAGCATTTTGTAATCCAGTGAGGAAATTCAAGACCAATAAATATTGATTGATTAAACAACACTGAATACAATTGTAGGGTTTTCTTCAAACTCAGACTCTCTGCTGCGGCTGTACCTCAAAAGACAAAACAATTGTCTGATACGGTGGCCCGGAAGTGCAAGACACCACAGCATTTCAGAAAACACCACAGCATTTCAGAAAACACAACAGCATTTCAGAAAACACCACAGCATTTCAGAAAACGCAACAGCATTTCAGAAAACGCTACACCATTTCAGAAAACACAACAGCATTTCAGAAAACGCTACACCATTTCAGAAAACACAACAGCATTTCAGAAAACGCTACACCATTTCAGAAAACACAACAGCATTTCAGAAAACACAACAGCATTTCAGAAAACACAACAGCATTTCAGAAAACACAACAGCATTTCACATTGGACGGAAAGGGTATTCCTTTAGGGAGAACACTTCTTGTTTGTGATTGGACAGACCCAGCCAGAGAAGCACTGCTGTGATTGGTTGTTTTTGCTGCCAGTCAAGAAATGACGCTTCGTGATTGGTCTGCACCCGACAGCCAACATGTCCCAACACATCAGCCGTTAGCTGTTAGCACACACTCAGAGCTCACAGCTCCTCATATCTGTTCAGAAACTGGACAAAAGTTAAACAAGTACAAACCACAGACTGTCTATGTCATGGCGAATACAGTCGCTGCTTTATTTATGTCTGTATGACGCTGTTGTGAGTGTGGACGGAGCAGCTACAGGTTAGTTTAGCCTGATCGATCCGCCCCCTCTCCAGCACGTCTTGTTTGAATGACAGGAGTAAACACTGACAGCTGCGGTGAAACTCGAGCGATTAGAGCGATGCAAAAAAAACATTAATTAATGCTTTATTAATTCATGGTTTTTAAGGGGCTTATCTCCATGTAAATACTATGGTAGACTACCCAATATTCGCATCGCTCTAATCGCTCGAGTTTCACGGCGGCTGTCAGCTGTGTTTGTTCCTGTCATTCAAACAAGACGCGCTGGAGAGGGGGGGGGGCGTATCTCCATGTAAATCCTATGGGAGATACCAACTACAACAAAATGAACATATTGACCATGATTTAATTGTAATACACGTTTTCAAAGTGATGCCGAAGTAACTACATACTGATACCGGTTAGTAAAAACCATGAATTAATGCTTTGACAAGTCTGCAGACAAGACGGCAGGCGAAAAGCTTTTAAAATGCGTGTTTTCTGAATGGAATCGGATCGATCAGGCTAAACTAACCTGTAGCTGCTCCGTCCACACTCACAACAGCGTCATACAGACATAAATAAAGCAGCGACTGTATTCGCCATGACATAGACACTCTGTGGTTTGTACATGTTTAACTTTTGTCCAGTTTCTGAACAGATATGAGGAGCTGTGAGCTCTGAGTGTGTGCTAACAGCTATATGTCCCAACACATCAGCCGTTAGCTGTTAGCACACACTCAGTGGCTCCTCATATCTGTTCAGAAACGGGACAAAAGTTAAACAAGTACAAACCATAGACTGTATATGTCATGGCGAATACAGTCGCTGCTTTATTTATGTCTGTATGACGTTGTTGTGAGTGTGGACGGAGCAGCTACAGGTTAGTTTAGCCTGATGGATCCGATTCCATTCAGAAAACACGCATTTTAAAAGCTTTTCGCCTGCCGTCTTGTCTGCAGACTTGTCAAAGCATTAATTCATGGTTTTTACTAACCGGTATCAGTATGTAGTTACTTCGGCATCACTTTGAAACGTGTATTACAATTAAATCATGGTCAATATGTTCATTTTGTTGTAGTTGGTATCTCCCATAGGATTTACATGGAGATACGCCCCCCCCCCTCTCAAGCGCGTCTTGTTTGAATGACAGGAACAAACACAGCTGACAGCCGCCGTGAAACTCGAGCGATTAGAGCGATGCGAATATTGGGTAGTCTACCATAGTATTTACATGGAGATAAGCCCCTTAAAAACCATGAATTAATAAAGCATTAATTAATGTTTTTTTTGCATCGCTCTAATCGCTCGAGTTTCACCGCAGCTGTCAGTGTTTACTCCTG